AAGCACCTGACCCCTTTTCATGACGATCTCCTAGCCTTTGTCTGTGTGGTGTTTTCCAAGCGCATTGCCAACTTACCTGCTGCCTTATTGATCTGCTCGGCCTTCTCTCCCTCAGAGGCCAGGATCTGTGCCTGCTTCCTGCCTTCGGCCACATTGATCGCCGCCTCTCTTGTGCCCTCGGATTCCAGCACTGTGGCTCGTTTTCGCCTCTCAGCTTCCACCTGTCGGGGCCAAGGGGCATGCGGTGAAGGAAAGCGAAATCGGGGGACACCACCTGCTGAGCTCAGGACGGGCGGTTTGCACCCTTCTGCTTCAAACTTTTCTATCTGAAGTACTCAGAATTCAACACATTTTACTTAAAGGGGAACTGCAGTCCAAAATCCCCAGACAGGTTATTAAATCTGGGTAACAAAATAAAATTCATTGGTGTTGTAGAAAAAAACTACAAAGGGCAAATTAAGCACAAAATCATGAACTTTGTGAAAGTACTGTAGGGTTGCCATGTGGTCGCAAACTCGCATTCCAGTTCCCATGAATTGAGACGTGATGCAGCCCTTCCTGCTCACTAGTATCCGTAATGACTACTGTAATGGCTGTACGAGCGAATCAGTACTGGTCGCCCAGCAGACACTTCACTGCAGAAATGTTCCAAAGGGATCTGCGTGCAGTCAATAAGTATGTAGTATTTGACGGCAAATTTGGCCTGTTTGTTTACAGTGGCCTGTTTGTTTACAGTGGCCTGTTTGTTTACAGTGGCCTGTTTGTTTACAGTGGCCTGTTTGTTTACAGTGTAATAAGGCTGCACCGCGGCACCAGACGTTTTATTGCCTGGTACTGGACCGCAGAACAGGCGGTGCATCTCCCTGAAAATCTTTACACTGGAGGTTTTACAAGTTACTGTGTACATCTTACTTTCATTGTGGTTTGAAATGCACTCATCAATACTGATTCTTTCTGACCCCAAAATCTGAAAATAGTGTTGCAGTTCCCCTTGAAATCTTTCATCTAACCAGGCGGGTCAACTGAGGACACATTCTCATCCCTTTATGCAGCAGAGCATTTATCAGAGCAGCTCGATAAAATTCAGCTGCATCGCACCCAGGATCCAAACCCGTGATGTCCTTGTTCACTGTCCAGAACCCAATCACTACTCTGCCCTGCTACCTTTGACAGTCTAGGTTCAGAGCCTCGGCAGGGTCTGTCTCTTACACCTGTATGACTGCATTAGCCAGCTGCACAGACCACATGCTCAGAAGGAAATCTCGCTCGTCTCCCTGCCTGCCATCATCAGGTGTGCCAGAACACTGGATGGTGTCGAGTCACTGGGACTGCTTGCAGAACAGCAGGTCCATCTCCCACCGACTTGCTACCTGTGTCAACTCACCTGCATCTGCATGGACTCCTTTACTCGGGGAGGCACATGGATGTCCTTGATCTCGTACCGCAGGCAGCGGATCCCCCAATCTTCTGCAGCCTGGTTTATTGAGTGCACTATATTGGAGTTTAGCGACTCCCTTTCCTGCACACCGATAAAATGCATCAGCTTGGGATCAGCCAAAGGCATAATCATCTTGACAAAAGCTTTCGGAAAGGTTTTATCAAGTCGTGTGCAAAACAATTCTTTCCGGCAACACATTACAGTAAATGTGATGAAATATTTGCTCTAAGTGACATGCGTATTTTCCACAAATTCAAAACACGCTAGCTGCAGTCATCCAACACGAATGACTAAACTGTATATTCTGAATTAGAAAAAATGTCCTAAACCCAATTATTTTGTACAGCTGTTAGTATATTATGATGAAATTTAGCTCTCACGGCCCAGGACTGTAGATTCCTTATGTAAACATTTAAACAGTAGCAGATTATTCTGCTTCCTTATAACTTAAATAGAGATTTCTCAAAGTTCCTTTCCCTTACCCTGAAAACTTTATCAAGGGTCAACTTTCCCAACTCTGAACGCATAGTGGTCTGGGCCAGCTGAGTCACAGCATACTCTGGGTCCTCTACACCATAGCTAGCCTGTTTCAAAAAAGAAAAATAAATCACTTACAAATACATTCCCTCACCCTTTCAATAACTAATGCAGTTAGATTCTAGGAATGTAAGCTATTGAAATTCCAACAATAACAATTAAACAACACATAAAAAAGCATAACATTCATGTTCAATCACATTTATAACACTAAAGCCATAACATCCACACAAGTACAACTTAATTTGAGATTAATCAAACCCTACAATGGAATTCTTATAATAGTCAACTCCAGTACTTTACCATCTCACCTACATAACAACTGCTTTAAGGAGGACCAGATTATAAACCAAGAACATAAAAAAAGATGACACCGATTTACCTTAAAAGGGTCCAATATTCTAAGGTACAAGACTCCATCTATCTGCAGCGTCACATTATCTGAAATGACAGCAGAATATTTTAAACATGGAGAAATAAAACACAAGCACCACATTCTTCGCACACCACAAGAAGTTCACGGGTAGACCTTACCTAGAGAAACAGCAGACTGCTCTGGTACATCTATAACAATCTCCTTGAGGCTCTGAACATAGCGAACCCTATCTAATACTGGAATAAGAAAGTTTAAGCCCTAAAAAACAAAGATGGACAGTGGTTACAAAAACAATCTGAAACTTCGCTGCTTACTCAAATCTGTAAGTTTTTTTAAATAAAGGTAGGTGCTTTTTGTAGGAGCTTCTTTTGAAGACTGTGAGCTTCATCTTTGTCGTGTAACATTCAGACGCTCTGTTCAGAACTATAAGAAAGCATTCACCTTCTTATGTCTTCCTAAATCTAAGCTGTACCACAGATGTATATGTTATTCTCTATTACACCTATTCATATAGGAGAATAACTTACTCTTCAACATCACCACCTTATGCACTGCACCAGCTACTTGAGAAACAAAGTGAATAAGCACACATCTTATGAGATATATTCATAATTAAGCTATCAAGTTTTTTTAAAGTACTCTGCAATTCCAGGATTCACAGAGTGAACCTTTGGTGTCACTGGGAGTGCAGCTGCAGGTCATGATGAAAAAGCTCTGTCCACAGGCACGTGGACCAGTGTGGGGGTAGCAGGAAAGGGACACCCCCAACACATGTCTTGTCTATGGTGCAGTAAGGTCTAACAGCTCTGATCACAGAACATGTGTGACACAGCTTATAGATTCCAAACATTCAGGACTCTTATATGCTGGTGAACTGCGTTGCAACAAACAGAAGTACTGCTTACAGGCTCAAGTATCCTATGGAACCTGCCCATCCGCTCCACCACCCAGGCCTCCTGCTGGGGCACAAACAGGACGACGGTGTTCATCGGCGTGTTGGAGGCCCACCGCTGCTGGGCTGGGACCACCCATTGGGTGGGCACTCGTCGCCTGGACTGCTGCTGCACAAGAAGAGTTGCCATTTTTACCAACCCGGGCACACATCGCCAACGCCTTTTTTTTAAAAATGATGGTGTGGCTCAACCTTTTGGCCTGACTCAAAAACAGTGTCCCGCAACATGGCTACTATACATTGGTTTAATCTTCCGTTTTTTGGAGATACCCCTGAATAGCCATATGGTATAAACTGATGGAAACAAAGCTGATATATTCATTTTACGTCTCTTCATTTATGCTTTTGACATACACTGTACACATCAGTGCACAGTGTTCAGAGTCAGAAATAATTTATTATTTCTAAAGCATTTTAAAGTATTTTTTTCCGCTCAGATGATATATATATATATTTTTGCATAGGAAAATCGCAAAGGCCTTAATGATTCCCCAGCTACACAACGTTTGAGGTGTGGAACAGAGATGCTGTCTCACCAGCGCACCACACTAACACCAGCGAGCACAGTCTAACATATACATTTCAAAAGAGAAACCAACGGGGATTCAGAATTGAGAGATGAACCACTGTAATACATACTTACAGTACTTGAACCTTCAACAGCAAAGCAATTTAAAACTGACTTCAGCTTCTATAATTATCCCATTTAAAAATAAAAAAATTGGAAAAGTAATCGGCAGTATAAAGGTAAATATCAGAAAAACACAACATCTAAAAGAGAAAAGGATTCAACGAATATTCTGGAAGTTAAACTGGAATACAAGCACATCGCTTCGGGAGTCGTCCTTAAGGTCGCTCTCATAATCTCGGTTGATGATGTAATTGCACTACTCTCTTTGCAATGATCAGTCAGACACACACCGGGCACATAAAATAAATATATACAATTATATTTCGATTCAACTCTTTAAAACGAAGAACATATATATTTTTGTGCAACAAATCACCCCTCTTACCTAAAGTGATATTAAAAAAAAGACGATATAACACGTGAGCCCATGATGTGTGGGGGAAACGACGATCACAAATTTCAATAAAAGCCACTTCAGAGCCGTTGTTCATTACCTTTAACAGGGAACCTCCCGCCCGACACACAGTCCTAAACATCTTCTCCCAATTTAGCAAATTTTCTTTCTGGATTAAGTGTTTTTTCAGTGTAAACCCTTCACCTTCTCAAACTCGCACCGAAGCTGACACCCAAGTTAACTGAAGGGGAGCTGTACGGTACTGAATTCGCGCACGTCAGGAAACACGACGTTTCACACGACGTTCCTCCTCCTGAAGCACGGTTTAGTCGAAGCATTTCATTGCTACATGAATTTGTCAAATAAAAATTGGAGTTTCCCTGATATACTAAATAAATAAATAGTTTTTTACGCCTTGCTCACTGCGATATGAATGTTGAGCCAATCATCATGTTTACTGACTTATATTGCAAGTAAGAATACTAAAATTAAGATGTATTTTGCTAAAGGGATAAAGCATAAATGATTAACTAGTGTCGTTTAATGTGCCTGACCAGCATGAGCAATTTTGAAATTGCTTCTCCAGGGCAACGGAGTAGCACAGTCAAGTTATGATTTTTCCATTGATATTTGTTAAAGTTCTGCAAGTTAGTTCTATTAACGTTATACAGAAGTGGAATATTTTAAGGGGATCTCACATTAATGAACTAGTCTTTTACTCAGAGTGAACATGGTCTGTCAGAAGAAGAGGCCTCAATGGCTCTTGCGGAGTTTGGGCCCCAGTTTCACATCTTGCATGCTCATTGGTCTCAACATACTGTTCTTCACCTTCCCGCAAGTTCTTACGTTTGTCAAAGGCAGGACGGTTTTGTTAATAATTAACATCCACCGGTTGCATGGTTGCTATAATTATTTAATTGAGGGTCACCTTTGAGGTATTGCACCTCTGCTGTGTTAATAATAATAATAATAATAATAATAATAATAATAATAATAATATACCACAATGCCTGTTAGTATGTGAATTTCCAGTTTGTATTAAAAGTGCAATTTTCAGCTGCTGATTGAAAGCTACATAAAAAAACGTTATTGTTAAATTTTTTTTCCCCCAAATTTTCTTTGGCCTTGAAGAAAAATGAAAAGGCAGTGAGGGGAACTATTAAATTTGCGGTAAGGAAAAACACCCCGTAAACTGACCAAATCAAAAGCATTCCAAATCATAAAAGTCGACTTCAGAATCAGTGGAAGTAGTGAAACGCAAACAAGAGGTCGAAAGTGGAAGCTAGACAACATGAGAAGTGTATGTTAAACTGAGAACAGGAAGCACTTCTTAAACCAAACGATTGTGGGAGTACAGAACAAGCTACTCAGCTATGTTGTTGAAACTAATACCCCGGCTTCCTTCACGAATTGTCTGGATATGATCCTCAGAGCAATGATCTGCAAAGGTCTGCTTTCTAGTAAATGGGCTTGGAACTGCAGGATGGACTCCTCTTGGCTATAACCATTCTTCTATTCTTTTGAGCTGGGAAGAAGGGAAGACTGTTTTTTTAGGTTAGAGGTGACAGGTGACAGTCCTACGGTTTGCAGTGAAGGTGATAAACTGCAGTAAAAATAGCCAGGAAAACATTTTGGTGTTACAAGGTCTCACAGCAGACTGTGTCAGGACTGGGCACCCTGAAATAATTACTTGCCATCTGTTTTTTCGGAAGCTATTTCTGATCTAGTAATCAGAACAAGAAATAACTACAACAAAGAACGACACATATGCACATTTAGTCTAATATACAAGAAAATAGACATGAATTACTGGTGTGAGAAATTGCTTCAGCAAAGGAGCAGGAGACAGCCTTGTGTAGATTCAGCCTTTACAGGTGTCAGCCACACACAGCAATAAAGAGCTAGGACTGCCCCGCAGAGCAGCCCACTAACTGAGGGATTCCCTACCTTTTAAACATTTCCTGAAGAGAGAAAACACAACATTTTGGCTGTGAACCCTTGTGAGCATACCATGGAATAAACCTATTACTTGTTCCTTTACACCTTTAAGTGACCAGTTTATTGAATTATTTAAGACTTCTTCCTATTTTGTACATGGGTAAAGAATAGGCCTACATTCCAGGACACATCCTGGAGATCAGAAGCATTGAAGAACAATCTCCAGTCACACGTTCTAAGGACCTCGAAGGATTTTATGTTTTTAGGTGTGCAAGATCTGCTGCAGTGTGAATTACAGTTCTGAGTAAAAATAAGGTAGTTTCAGATGGATTGAGATGGAAGTCAAGATCAGCATTATTTCATTTCATAAATAATATAACATATGATGCAGAATTGGGTTTTTAAAAACATCCCATATTAGGTCTACTTACAGTATAGTATAGTAATTCCGGGGAGAACTGTGATGTAAATTCATAAAGGCTTTCTTTTGTCCCACAAGGATCATGCTGGATTTCCTATGCTTACTTTGCAGGTGTGCTTGGCTGGCTGTCCATCTCTCCTGGGCTTTTCCGATCGTATCCGGAATTTTGTTTGTTGCCACTTTGATTAATTTCCTGCTAGCAAGCTTCATGGATCCAGCGACTCCATCAAGGCAAGAAACACGCTAAACAAAACTCAATATCCTCAGCATGTCTCAGGGCAGTCACTTTAATAAACAGTGTACGTTGTGCACAATCGGCCTACCATAATGAGCCTGGAGTCTAATATTAAATGTTCTAATAGGTGGAGAGACAAAATAACATTTAGGAAAGTGCTTGATGTATTCCCAGCCCTGAGATTTACCATTAAATACAGGAATCAAAATGAAGTAAACGTTAACTATGATTTAATCCCTACTTTTTAAATGCAGTAGTACTTTATTAGGAATTCTATCCAATATAAGATTTAATTTGTTCTTTACTAATTATGTTTCTTAGCCCAAACACTGTCACGTGGCTTTATAAAAGGTGCAATTCATGCACATTAATGTGGTAACACTTTGCCTGAATGATCCTAAAAAACATGGTCCTAACTCTTACACCAGCATGGTGGAGTATCTGCTGTCTAAGAAGTCACTGTTTGCAGCCCGTGAGCAACTGGAATCGTGATTCCAGTCTGTGGTCTGTGTGGGTCCTAATGCCCCAGTATAGTGACGGGGACACTGTACTGTAAAAAAGACGCTGTCCTTCAGATGAGACGTAACACCAAGGTCCTGACTTTCTGTGGTCGTTAAAAATCCCAGAGCGTTTCTCAAAAAGAGTAGAGGTGTAACCCCGGCATGCTGGCCAAATTTCCCATTGGCCCTTATCAGTCATGGCTTCCTAATTATGTAAAGCACTTTGAGTGGAGTGTCCATGATAGCGCTATATAAGTGTCATTAATTATTCATTATTATTATAATCACATCTCGCCAGGGGCAGGGGGAGCTGCACTCATCACCCGCCGTGCGGTAAGACGCAGTGGAGACCTGCGTACTCTTTCTGTGACCCGCCCTCCCCCCACCCCCCCCCGGGGGCCGCACTCCCCCGGGCTCTGCACGTGTCCCAGCTGGTCGCGAACGGGCGCGAGTGTGGCATGAGCTGGTGTGGGAAGTGGGAGTTCTACCGCCCCCTACTGAGCGGGCACGGTCAGCGCTGCGACGCCTGTGTTGAGGTGAGCCCTTCTCTTCTGTTAGAAATTCCTCAGCAAAAATGCAAAAAAAAAATAAAATAAAAGGTTGGGTAACTGGGCTAATTCACTAATCCACAAGCTATTCATAGGGTGCCGGGGGGGTCATTTTCACTATTGATATTGCCTGACTAACCAGGGATTACATCTCGATCATGATTTGTCATTGAGTATTAAGCAGCAAAACTTGTTTTCAGGGTGGAAACTGTCCATTTGTGCATTTCCGATTTCTCGGGACAGCCCTATCCGTTTTGTTTTGCTCTGGCAAAACCTGGGATGTCCTGGTCCCACAGGAATCCGATCACCACTGTTGCTGGATGAATAACTGCGTAGGGCAGCGTAACTATCGCTCCTTCCTGGGCCTTGTGTTACTGCTGGTCCTGCACAAGCTCATGGTGCTGATATCCTCCACTGTCTGCCTGGTGCTGAACGTGTCCCAGCCCTTCACCCTACAGACGTATTGCACGTATCCTTCCGCACTGCTGCCCGTGAGGGAAGGTATCTGCATCTTTGTAAAACAATCAGTCATGCTTTTAGAAAAGAAGAAGTGTTACAAAGGTGAGGAGGCCATTTGACCCATTTAGTCTGTATTGTAGATAGCACATAGTTGATCTGAGGATCTCTTCTGTACATTTCTTAGAAATAAACTGTTATCAACTTCAAAATTATGGGAGGGCAGTTTGTTTCACACTGCCATCATTTTTTTGGGGAAAAGAAGTGGTTCCTATTCTTGGTTTTAAATCCTTTGCATCTCTTCCTCAGAAACGTTTTACCGCAAGAAAAAGACATAATGGCAGGTAGATATTGTATACAGGACAGCTGCTTTATTTGTAAATACGGTTTGTGTTGATTTTGTATTTGCATATTTCATTTCTCCAGTGTCTTTGTGATGGTCCCCATCTCTCTGTTTCTCCTGGAGGTTCTTCTGCTGCTGATATGTCACGTCAAATTAATCTCCAGTGTCGAGAATGCCTATAATGGGGTAGGTCACTCTGTCACTCTTATTTTTAATTCTTAGCATCTTCTGGAAGGCGTCAGTGTGTCTGCTTCTGTCTCCTAGGAGTTTTTTGATCCAGATGATGGGAACCCCTTCAAGTTGGGGTGTACGAAGAAATGGTACAAGACCCTTTGTGCCCCAGCTGGTCCAAGGTAACACTACTGTGCCTTCAGCTTGCCAGTCGGTTTATAGCCAATTCAATTTCCTTCACAGTTCCTACGAAATACCACAGGAGACAGCCTATCAAGTTTTAAAATGAGAAATTTAATTTGTCTTAAGGGAAACTGTCCCAAAATAACTGAATGCATATTTGAAAGAAATATCCTAAAGGTCTGCTTAAAAGATTTGCTTAATTAAATGATGGAAGCCACATAGCTTATCATTTATCTTGCAATTGGGCAAATCCCAGGATTATAGTCACAGACAGGTCAGAAGTGCCAGTTATGTTTGGCTTTTGTCTTCTTCGGCACTATACATTTCCCTTAGTTTGTCCAGACTGCTGAATTATGTAGCTCTACACATACTGTATTTGGCGAAAGGGAATTTACATTTTAAAATCTATCTACAACACACATAACAATTATGTATTAGAAATCATACCTTGTGAACATTGAAATGAGTCAGTCTATATAAATGGGGCCCTTTGTTTAATTTCGGACCTGGGGTGCTATCTGTGTGGAATTTGTATGTTTTTCCTGTGTTCATGCGGGTTTCCTCTGGGTGCTCCAGTTTCCTCCCCGAGTCCAACACCATACTGGTAGGTTAATTTGAGAAGAGTTTTTTTGTAGACTGGTGGAACTCAACTCGTCCTTGCTGAAAATTAAACTCTAATAAAAGCCTCAGTTATTTATTTTAATTTTCACCCATCTCTTGCTTTTACAGGTACATATGTAATTTACCTAAATACGAACTGAAAAAGAGTGAAATGGGAACGACAGCACCTCTTCAACAGCAAGAGGCTAAACCTCAGTTCTGTGCCTCCTGCGGTCATTCTTGTTTAAACCACAAGGTGGAGCCAGCGAGGTCACAAGCTCTCCGTAATCACCGGGAGGGCTGCATCAACCTGGCACAACAGGACAGACCCCCGCAGCTGCAACTCGGGCACCATACTCAGAAACCCTGAGTGTGAGGCCCCTGCAGAACACACACCTGGTGAGTCATTCCCTATCACAACACAAACTACTACACAAACACAACAAAAACTGTGTCTTTGTGGAGGAAGTCCCCCCTGCAATCTTCGCACCTGCAAACAGCAAAGGAAATGACGGGATTAAAGACAAAACGCCCAGACTAAAACAGACACAACAAAATCAGGTTTTAAGAGGTACAATATTGCTTTGAAGGTGGCTCCAATAAAGCTGTCAATATCTCTCCTGGTATTTGATTCAGCTGATATTGCATGACTACAGAGCATTAGTAAATACCGTTGCTCTAATTAAATCCGTAATTTCAGGCACCAATTGGAAAGAAAACTCTAAACTATAAGGTATCCTCTAACTGAGCAACTGAGCAGGTCATTGAGCAACAGAGAGCTGAAGACCGGAGACTCAAGATTCGAGCGCTACAGAACTAGGATGTCTTTTTTTTCCTTCCTGCCTTCCTCTGGCCTTGCTCAGTGGAAGTGCCACACTCTTGGAAGTGCACTCTTGCTGTCCAGGTTCTTGTTGCCTTTCAGAAGCACCACATGGCGGTTCAGCACAAATCAGGCATTTTTTCAGGCAACGCAGCCAGGCATAGATTGTACATATCCTGTAGCCTCCATTAACACACTTGCCTCTGAAAAACTGCACAAGGTGGAGCTGGTTTTCACATGGAATTATGTAGGAAATAATATTATTATAGGCTTTACAGCTGCTACAAAAAATTCAACTGGGGGTACATACAATAGCAGCACTTCCCCGTTGAATAGCCAAATATCTACGGTAGCAACATAACATAAAGGTGGATTTTTGTTTGTTTCAGATATTCTGGCAGCAGGTGACGTGGAGGTGTGCAGTAAAGGTGGAAAGGTTAATGAATTCAACACCAAGCATCAGGACAGTCCAGCCTGAGTCAGCCCGAGGAGTGAAACTAGGCTGTGAGCAGCTTGATTTGCAAGGAGGAAAGAAGCAAAAGACATTGGACTGCTATTTCTGATCAATATAGATTGCACTGCAAGACAGAATAATCAGTATAAAGAGGACTGGGTGGTATATTGTATTAGCCAATAATCTCTAGATAAACCTGAAAGCAGTGGTATACAGTACAATACTCTACAGAATAATAAACTTTGGTTTAGGACAAGAGCATGTAATGACAATGGGGCTGTCACTAGAGGGTGCTGTAAACACCATCTCAAAGAGACTGATTCCATTTAGTTACGATGAAACTATATTAAGCGAATGAAATGTTGGAATTCTCACATGCCTTTGTCTTTATATGGGTGTTGGTTGGTTCAGCAGATCAGAGAGCAGCAGAGGTAGCCACCTTGGGTTAGGAAAGATTTTATGGTGAGTAAGCAAAGTTAGCTGTCCTAGGAGTTTAGGTTAGGTTTTGATTCCATTTATTTTTATCCCTGAAACAATGCAAAAAAAGAAATCTGGACCTTCACTTTCAGTTCCATGAATCACAGATGGGGATTAACACCCAAAACCAATGTGATTGACCTTGCTGGCTTTATTTAATGGATAAAAAACAAAACGGAACTACTACCAAAGTGTTTGGTAGGTGACTGTCCTGGGTAGTCTGCCACAGTGTGCAAAATTACACAGCTTACGTGTATTGTATGCGTCAAATCTATAGTCTGTTATCAACATTTCGATAGCACGGTAAAATAAGAAATGGAAAATGTATTACATTTGTACATATAGCAGAAATACACAGAGAGCCAACAAGTTTGTGGTTTATCCAAGTTGGCTACAAGTGTGCTTGTGGTTACTACTCTAGTGCATTTTGACATATTCCTCACACTGTCTTCAGTTTGATCAAGATGGCCTACATCCCCTGCTATTCTGCGAGAACTACCCATGCCTAAAACTCTGCATACTGCACATCACTTTTATTTCACCTCCAAACTCCCAATAAATTTGGCTTCCCACATTGTATTTTGTTAAAAGTCCTGTCTTTTACAGATGCTGGTATTATGCATCCTTAGTAATTTTCGCATTCGTCGTGAGCTGTTGCATTTAACGATCTTTATGGTTGTAATTTCAGGCAAGCATCTTATTAAGTTGAGGTTTTACGGCAATTAAATATCATTAAAAGTAGATTTTACTTGAGATTAAAGTTTGATGTATAAGACCTTCCCATCTTTGTTCCCCTTTTCTTCATGAAATATCTGTCTGTGCATGGCAATGTGGTCTCAAGGGAGTTTGCAAACAAAACTGCAAATCTCTCTTGAGTCACTCCGGCTGCATATTGCATTGTACTCAGCATATAATTACGTTTGCACTGTTTAACAGGCATAATGATCACAATGAAGGCTGTCACAAATCAAAAGGACTCTTTCAGTCTTCAAGGAGACAAAGGATTAGGGATGGTTTAAAAGATGTCTTTTTCATTTTACATCTTATAATTGGCAATTGCTTTCTCATTTATACTGCTAGAAATCTGGGTATTTAACTATTGTTATTCACTCTAAAAAATTAGAATTGCCGTACATTTCCACCAGGCCATCAGACGAGTCTGCTTTTAAGAGCTAGGAACAGAAGCAGCTTAGGTGCCAAGTGCAGAAGTCACAGCTACTGCTGGCTTTGCCTGAAAATATTGTAAATAACCCCTGTAGACACACAGCCACGATCTCTGAGTGGCACTGCCCATCTACAGAAGTGTGAACTGCTGGATGTGGAACTCAACCTGCAATTTGGGCGAAGATTTATACCAGTTAACCCACTCAGTTGGCCTTCTATCATAAAAAATACAATTAACTTCAGACCGAAGCCATTTTATATGAGCGGTTGCGCACATTTTGCATCATACTAAGTGAAGGGGTTCCCCAGTGTATGGAATACCTTTGTTATGATGTTCATACAACAGGGAATTGGACCACTAAAATGTGTTATCTGTGCAGAGGTTCCACAGAAATATGCAACATATGTTAGACAACACTTAACTTTTTATTGTATCTTGTACACAGAGACAAGTTGCAGGTATTTACTCTTGACATGGTTAAAACAATCAGGGCTGCAAGGGGACACAGGTCACAACATATGAAAAGGCAGGTGGAGGACCTTGAATAAGTACTCTCAGATTTATAAAGCCCACACAGTGGTTGCATTGTCCTGGTGTCTTTTCAAGATGGTGACTAATTTGGAAACATTAAGTGAAATGGAAGTATCCCACAGGCTCCACATTTATCATAATCTATTCTGATTTGAGTCTTTTCAGAGACCAAGTAAAGGGAAAAAATACCACTGAACTATTATTTAATTATTACACTTAAGTAAAACTGCTCCAGTACTTAGGTCTTTAACTAGGAGTATGCAGCTGTCATTTCTGGGGAAGTAATAGACCTGAAACCACCAGAAAGTTAACACTGCTGCTTTTGTTAGGAACCGGAGTATAAAACAGGCATTTGTAGGTAATGTACTGTACACCCATGTTAAAATGCAAGTTATTTTACCTGTGGTGTAAATATACTGTATATAGACACAGCTCATTCTACAACTGAGATAGTAGAAGTCTTACACTTTAAAACAGCATAACCCCAGTTTCCTGTTAATAATGGGACACTGTGGAACCCCCACAGAATGTCTTTTAGAAATACTCAGAAGCACTCACAATTTAAAGGGTTTAATCCTTCTCTGTTTGTGCAGTGATACATATAAGTATATATCCTTGTGACTATTTCTGACAAGCTGCACATATTTTTCTTCTCAAATTCCACATTTTTTCATTTACCTGGCTCTCCTCCAAACTTTAACAGAGCTTTCTGGACTTCACAGTTCTAAGTGTTATTTTTATAGACGAAAACAACCAAGTACCTTTATAAAGGAAAGTCTATATATTCAGATATAAAGACACCATCAACAAAATCTCTAGTTTTCTGTTAAATTATTAAATGGATTTCAAGATGTTTTCCATGAATGCTGATATCCTGTGCTGACTCTAGACACTAATTTGAGAAGATATCTAGCTTGATTAAGTGGGTAGCCCTGGTGGCAGCTTCTCAGCATTCAGATTATGTTAATCAGTAAAAGGAAGGCAAGTTCCAAATTTAGAGTCTGTTTACAAGCACAACATGGATATGAACACATGGGGGCAGAACTCTTTAAAAATTGGAACTTAATACATGACTTCATATACTTTCTAATCTAAGAAGTTTTCCACGGCACTGACAGAAAAGACTACACGTGTTATTGTATTAAAATGGAAAAAGGATATTTCAAATAGCCATGATATTCCTTTTTGAAAACCTGACTGACTGCCACAGAAGAACATGTTTATTAAGTACCAGTTTTTGAAAACAGTAGAAATACCCCTGCTTGGGAATTCGCTTCAAACACAAGGTCTATGCAGTATTCCTGCAGGACACCATCCATCAAGACAATGCGTGTATGCTTTTTGTGGGCCAAGTACTGTATAAGTCACTCAGTGTGGCATTTTTAGAGATTTCCTTGGCACTTTGGCACATTCATAGTAAGGCTGATTTGGACTTAATATTAAAAAGAGCAGTTTCAAATGAGTCACCTCTTTAGTTTCCAAAATATATGCAATATGTCAGGTTTAGTTTTTATGTGGTATAAAACAAGTAATGCTGTCAACTTTGTAAATCTGTCAGTAATCAGGCCTTAGGGAAGGTTTAAAGTGTTGCAGATGTGTTGCTTAGTCAGCTACCTGACATTTCGTAGATAATGCTGTTACAAAGCAGAACATTATCCAGTTAAAAGCAGCTAAATGGGGGGCCATTTTCAAATTTAGTTACCAGGGAAAGAGAATGCTAAAAATTACTGGAACAATGCAGAAGTTTTTTTTTTTTTACTCCAAAAAGTCATGCAGTGTGTACACATGAAGCGAAAAATAAGCTTTTATTTATTTAAGAATTTAGGTGCTTTTTAAATAAACTCTTTTTTTTATAATGGCAGCTCAAACTGCCAAACCCAGAACTCACAATGTTAACACACTAGCACCAAGTAGCAGTAGCAGTCCAGAGACTCACACTGGACACTTGTTCACCCACCTTACTTTAAATCTATAGATAATGGGAACTTAGGGAAAACCCTTAAGTAAAAAAAACACTTATACATAAACCATGAGGTCCTGGGATCTATATCAAAATGGTAGAGTAGACCTAACAAAACATCAAGGTCAGTATTAACATTTGGAACTAAACTCATGTCCTGTACCCAGTTCAGACACCTACACCAGAGGCTTCTATTTCTGTTTTATTAACAGCAAATTGAAAATTCTTATTCAAGAAGTGATCGTGAACTGATTCTCTTCATTAAACTGGCACATGCTGCTTAATATTGCAGCCTGTGCCATACCTGTGACCTGCTTTACTGGAAATACCCCCCAACTCCACCCTGCTCTTCACAGCCCAGGACACTGCATGACCATCGTCCCCGGAGCACATAGCAGGCAGACAAAATCCACCTCTACAGTGGCTACCGCCATCGCACCCTCTGATGTGCCACGTATTGCTTTAAGACATCCTCAAATAAATTAAATACTACTTTGTTGAGTTCCTTTTTTTTTTATCTGTTAACAGAATGAGTTCAACACAGTGTTCTTCAAACTGCCTCCCCCAGGGACAGAGCAGAAGTGTTTTTCCCCCCTTCCTCGAAACACACTGTGTGTCCAGTCACATCTGAAATGGTACCTGTAAGTCAATCCATAGCTTCACTGCACATTGACATAACAGCGAGGTGATGTTAATCCCCTGGTAACAGATATTTCAACATCTGTAGTTCTTGTGATGTGATGTTGCAGTTTAAGGCATTTCTCACAACTTGGTAAGACGTTCGATGTTGACATTAGACAGCTGCTCTCAGTCTTTACCTTTTTTTTCCTCAGAATTTACCAGTGTCTGAATCACCTCTTCATTCCAGAACGAAGGCTTGTCTTTGTTTGAAAGAATCGGCACCTTTTGCGAGATCTGTTTCACGAAAAACAGAGACCCTGTCTCTGTGGTGGAGACAGGGAAGCCAAAGGCTTGTATGAGCCTGCTACGGATTAGGGCTGACGTCTTTGAGGACAGACAATCCTGTTGTTCTCAGGCTGTGGAGTACAAGGGTTCCTTTGCCCACAGGGCTGTGCTGCAATTCATGCTTGCAGTGCTGTGTAGGTGGCAGTACTCATACTGGGGACCGCCCTGCTGGAAGATGGTTAAATACCTGTCCCAGGCAAGCTGATCATTCATTCTGTGAATGCTCTCATATGCCGATTTGTAAAATCTGAGAGAGTTGGCGTTTTGGCTTTTAGTCGAAGTCTGAGTGTCAGGACTTCATGGTGATCCAACTTTTCTTTCGTACTTCTAATCTGCTCAATATAAGGATCTCAGAAACCTTGACTAAAGGCTTCTTAATTGCAGCTGACACTTGGTCATGTCTTCTTCTTATATGTAAAATGCCATTTAGCGGCTCCATTTTGAGTAGCAATGTGTTTTACTGTACAGGAGACTGAACCGTGTTATGCCATTGGGAGACTTTTATAGTCAGATGAGGGTCAATGCAGGTGGAGTAAAGAAATATATCCACTGCAGAGTGGGGAAAAAGTGGTTACTTGTAGCCTCATCTTTCATAAGAATGGAGGAAAGGTTGAAGGACCAGGCCCTCACCTTTCAGTTTGGTTGACTGCTTATTGCTTAATGGGGTTCTTTAGCCTTTTTGGAAGAGATTCATATATATATGTTTTACTTTTTCTTTTGTTGATCCTTTGGTTGAACACTCCTGGCAGATGTCCCTCTCTCTCCTTCTCCCTGACCTGCGCATGCACAGCTTGCCATCTGCTGAGATTGTCAGCTCCCGATCCTGAGCAGTGTCACGGTTGATGGCTCTTGTGTACGGACTTCACTGTATCCATCATTCAGCCACAGTATTCACCACAGATTCTTTTAACTTTGAGGTGGACCTTTTCTATTCCTGGAAGAAACACCCAATATTCTGACAAAAATACCAATGATAATGGCGGACAAAAGGTGTTTTTTTTTTCTCCTTCAAGAAGAAAATGTCACGAATGCAATTCAGCAGTGAAAGGCATTGGGAAGCTTCTCCATCTCCCTCTGCTGAACATGGCTGGGCTGTATCCAGGGAGACATCTTTTCCAAGCTTTTCGGCACACGTGCAACCAAATCCCAAAATGGGTAGGATTCTAACACGATTGTAATTCGACTCAAGGAAGAGGGGGTTAGAGCTGTTGTTTGATTCAGTGCAGTTCCTGCGCTTTTCTCTTTCCTGAAGAGGGTCTGTATGTCTGAAGCGGCCCACCTGCTCCCTGTCCGATTGGTCTGCAGGAAGGGTGGGGGTGAAGACAGGATGAAGAGCAGTGCTCTAAAACTGTAAACCGCCCTAGCATAGAACTCAAAAGGTTTGTTACAAGGCATGCATGTTAACACTGAATTCAGAAACTGAATCGCAGTCTGAATCATTCTGCTCTTGTCCGTTGTGTTTTTATCTGTCGACTTTCAAGTTTTCATTTCGATTTGTTTCGTCAAAGTCCTTGTCCCCTGAAGGCAGCGAGACCACTTGTCAGACCCGGGGGGAGTACGTGGGGTTTCTTGGCACCTCGGTGAAAGATTTCAACTCGTAGGGGATCCCCGTGTCCACCTCAATGGATTTGCGGGAGAATAGCAGCCGGATATCGTCGTGCAAGTAGATTTTTCCAGACTTGGAGCTCTGGAATCTGTCAACAACAAAGACCATTTTAGTTCGCCTTAAAAAAAAAGAGTGAAATAAAAAAAAAAACGAGAGAGGAGAAAACAAGCAGGGCTGCACGGCCGGCAGTGGAGACCTGAGGTGTATCAGGTAGCAAAGTATTCTCTTCCTGTCTGCGGCCCCAGCTTCAGACTGCTCGTCCTGTCCCTCTCCTTCTTCCACAGGTACCAGGAAGATACGGTGGCGCAGGAAGGTGATGTGGTTTACAGGCATGTCCCCGAAGTTATAGGTCACCAGGAACATCTTCACCACAGTCTTGTTGGGGTTGAATAAGGTCTGCGGGTGAGACGAGACAAAGAAACACTGTCAGTGCGAACAACCACCTGCTGTCGCTTGCCCTGTGTGAACGCGTATCGCTCATGACCGGGTACAGTAACATGACTGGTAATTTCCGAGATGATTCAGCTGAGAAGAGCCAGCAAGAGCAGAGTAGCAAAGGGAACACTGCCAAGACTTGCCTCAACAGATCTGGCAGGCTCACATGATCAAGAAAAAGACTACCAGAAGGATAACAGTACTGGTGGAAATTAAAATTGGATGGTTTTAAACAAGTACTCCAGATTATATGTAAGTAAATGTTAACATGTAAAAGATGCATAATATCATTGTTTCTCTGCCATTCTTATTTTGCATCTTACTTGTGCATCTGCACAGATTTGTATGGAAGCAGAAACCTTGTAATGCCATAAACTTCTGAATTATGCAATTATTGTGGATTGTGGAAGATTACAATAGAACTTTGCGTCTTCAAAGCAAGGCCAATTACCCTCACCACTGTTTGTTTTTTTACATAAGCAATTCTATGCTGAACTTGTCAAGTTTTTTTTTATCCAAGTCAATTTCCCTTGAACCCAGTTGGACTGGAAAAGTGTAGGAAACTGAAAACGTCGTGCTGTGCTCTGAGGCAAGGAAAAATATATAACAGAAAGGAAAGGAAAGAAAAAAAACTGTGTTCCCTGACTCACCACTTGGATGGTCCCTGCTTTGGGAACGCTGTATCCTTTCTTTCCCAGAGGCTCCAGGTGGATCACACCCTAAACGATAATCACAGATCTACAGCCGCTGCACACAGCCAACACCCGCGAGCTCACACTCTCGCACCGAGGACCCTGCTGGACCACACCGATACCGACCTCAGGGGCTCTCCCCACAGCTGACCTGACTACCATCGAGACTGGACCGTTCGAAAGGAGTTCGTGAAAAGGTGTCTTGATGACAGTGCTCCGAAACGCAAGCAGCTTTTTTGGCCTTTAATCCAAACATTTACGTTCATTTCACAAGTGAATGTGTAACCCACAGTCCAAAACGTCGTGTACCCCATGACAATTTTGGTTTGGAGTATAAAACAACTCCAGACAGGAAACTGTATATCATATAATAACAAGGTTGTGTCAACAAGAGTCAGTTTTCTTCCGACTAAAGCACCCCATTTGTCCATTAGCCCATGAAAACAGAACTAGCTATTTCATTATTATGAAACTATATTATTAACAGGAAAGTCCAAGACCGGAAAGCGTGGCAAGAGATGGCCTATAGAATCGCCGAGAGTCGGATCCGACTGACCGGATAACATCATCATCATCATATTATTAACAATATTATTAAAACTTAAGCCTAACTATTTCACTAACTTGGCTTAGGTCTAATTGAATTTAACGAGGGAAAACATAAATAATAAGAACTGAATGTGATTCTCTGGTATGGTAAAGACATTTTACTTTGTCATAGTGGAGAGGGAGAGAGAATGGGCAGGTCTACTTTTCATACCATCTTTTCACATGATCTGTTTGCAACAAATCCTTGTCATCATATCCAGCAGCAGCAGTAGGCAGACTGCCATCTTACCAGGAAAGGGGAGGGGGCGCTGTGCTCAGACGTGTCATAGTAGGTGACCTCCACAGGCAGGGTGGCGTGCTGTGGGCAGTAAGAGCCGCTGGCTCCGATCTCGGCCGTGAAGCCCTCGATGCGTCCCGACGGAGCAAAACGGCCTTTCAAGATGGACTCCTAGAAGCACAGGAACGCCCGCCGTCGGTCACTAGTCTGACAGAACTCATCGGTCTCTCATCAGTCGTTCAGCTCTGCATCCTGAATGCGACCTAGCAACGAGGAGGGTGGTTCACTCTCCCCCCAGTGATCTTTATTAGACTAGTTTCCACGAGACCTTATGTAAAGAAATGCGTTCCACACTGATATTTTGGTCTTCCCACTCCTGCACCTTAATTTCCCCACGTCCGAATGCACTACTTCACCCTGTGGGCCTCGGTTTTAAGAGCTGTACGTATATTTCTATGCGGGAGTGTCGGCCTCAGCAGCCGTGTTCCGAAGTACCTCGAAGTTGCCCAGCAGGGAGCGGCTGATGGAGGCAGAGGGCCAGCAGGAACGGACCGCGTGGTTGGCTTCTCCTCGCCTGGAGCTGCGGAGCTGCCTCCTGCACAGACACACAGAGCCGCGGCCGCTGAGAAACACGGGCACACCGACGCACCGGCCTGGCTGCCCTGTGGGCGCTGCCCCCCGCTCTGAAAATTACACCTGAGCTAGACACTACGGACGTGGTGCAACACGTGCCGACATTCAGCCAGAAACTGGAAGGAGAAGTTGCAGGCGTGAAAAAAAAAGGCATCGTCACCCAGTTTCCATGACAACAATATGCACAAAGAGGTAGGTCTTCAGAGTGTACAGGAAGGGTGAAAGCCAATTTAACACCACTGGGATGAATTTTTTCTGCTATCACAGTTTTTGGGTATCGACTACCACACTATCTCACGCTTCTTAAATTCAAGGATGCGATTAACATCCATCAAGCCATGTCTGAGAGTCTTCTGCAGTCCTTACACCATCAACAGGATGCGTCCTTTCGGCAGTTAGGCAGCATACAAGCTGGATCAGGGTATTTCACACAAGCTTCTTGAAATAATTTATATTAATAATTTTCAGGCCCACTGCTTTTATGTTTAGGAAGTTCAGACTCCAAATAAAAACAAGCCTCAAGACTAAAATAAACAGAATCGATGGGTAGTTTATCCAAAGCAACTGCACTTGCTTTTTCTGTACTGAGGTAGAAGATCACTTCTTAATATGAACCAATACTCACGATTTTGGCCGAAGCGCACTTTTCAGTCTCCTGTTCACACTAGTGCAATCCGAAGAGCTCTGCAAGGGAAAAGAGACAGACTGAGAACTTGGGCCACTTTCTAACAGGCCTGCTCAGAATTACCTCCTGGGCGAACAATACCACTGTCTGTTAGTGCACTGTGGCAGGTAAGTCTTCCAGACTGCTGTTTGTTCAGTGGGAAACTCATGCTGTATTAATTAAATTTAATCGCCAACAAATTAATTCACCATTTCTTCTGAGAGTCCTTAGAAAGCACAGTTAAAGATAAAAAGGAAAACACTATTTAAGGTAATAATTCATTAAGAAGAGTAGTGCTGTAGAAGACTTAATCATTCCTCTTTATGAAAATGACTGAAAACAGATTATTTGTTATGTGTGCTGGGAGATCCCCAATTTATCAACTTGATGGATTTAACTCACAACATTCAGTCTCAAATTATGTATTGAGGCAAAAAAAAAATCTTTGGTTCTTCCCAAGTTCTGAAATGAATTAATAACAGTGCTTTATATACTGAGGAGTCTACTACTAAGTATAAGCTGCATGTTCTTTCAGAGCAATATTAAAAACAAATAAACAAAAAATGCATTTAAGGCTTTTCATTACCTGCAACTTGGCTGAACAAATTCTGTGCTTACATTTGGCATGCTTACATTTATCATCAGTGTCTACACTGATGTACTTAGCATTTGGATTTTTTATAGCAATTACTGCTTCTTGTATGAAACAAAAAAACGGCAGGAAAAAAAAACTAAAACCAGAACAGTACAATTTGAAATTTGAACTATGCATTTACAAAACTTGTTTTTATTAAAGCCGCTGGCACAAATAACTGAAACTGTATAAAGTCCTATCTAAGAAGTATGTATTTTCCCTCAACCGATAGCTGCGGTTCCCACAGTAGTACTGTACTTACATGTAAAAACAGTCTATTTCCCAGGTCATAGGCATCACTCAAGGCCAGACTGCTCATTATACCCTCAGCCAGGCCCGCCTCATAGTTCGGCCACCATTCTTTTTTCACACTGCCTGCTCACTGGCCACTAAGCTCTGTCAAAGTCAGCAGAAGACCAGCTCTCCCTTCACTCCCCTGACACATTAGCAGAGCAAATTTTAAGCTATTTAAGCTCTTCTCCAGAAAAAGGAACATGGCATTTATCTACATCCCCCCACTTTTTTTTTGGGGAATACAATATGATATATTTCAACCTAGAATCCAGAAAGGGCTGCACTTTGTATAGGAATGCTGTAGGCTTTGGAACAAAGCCCCCGTCAATGGGCTTTATTCTGGGTTCACGCTGCACGTTCTAGGATGAAAGAAAAGCAGCCCTCATCTGCCTCGTGAAATGGTACTGCGTGTACTGCAGTCTTTAGAGGCTGCCTTGAAAAGGAAAGAAAAATCTGGGTGCAGCCAAACATTCTGGAAAGAAACAAAATATCAGTGTGGACAACAGGAGTTCTAGAGACATAATGCTCAGTGTTCTCCTGAAGGGTAACTGAAAAGAACAGAGCCGAAAAGAAAACCGTGACAAAAGGTCACCTGTAGTACCCATGGTGTACCCACTTCACCATACTTTACAAATGACAAAGATCAGATTTGACTCATTTTATGGACATGCATTGTGTAACTGATATTACACAGCATCACCTAAGGAAATATTACTGAATTAAAACTTCTCAAGCCCACCCTTTATTATATAACCCCATGTCTATATTCTGGGTTTCATAGCCTGCCATGTAGCATGATACTGCAAGGAGCAGCGTGCGCTGCTAAAGTCCTTCAATGATACACCTCCAAATCACCTTTGAGGGTCCTTTCAAACTCTGCATCCCATTAGCTCAATCTCTCTATTCTCTCCTACAGAAAATCCACAATATTAGAATTGCTGGAGTGCAGTCTTTGTGTGGGCTAGATGTCTTTTTATGTCTTTTTTTTTTTTTTACTTCCTAGGGGCGATGCGGTGGCTCTGTGGCTCAGGATCTGCGCCTGTGGCTGGAAGGTTGCCAGTTCGTATCCCGCAGCCGGCAGAGGAGTCCTACTCCGTTGAGCCCCTGAGCAAGGTCCTTAACCCCAGCTGCTCCAGGGGCACCTTATAAATGGCTGACCTGCGCTCTGACCCCAAGCTTCTCTCTGTCTGTGTGTTTCGTGGAGAACAAGTAGGGGTATGTGAAAAAGACAAATTCCTAATACAAGAAATTGTGTATGGCCAATAAAGTGATCTTATCTTATCTTACTCTTACTTTTTTTATCAGTCTTGTGTCAGCCCCTGACCCTTTAAATTCAACCAATGTGATCTGGTAAAATAAAGAATTCAAAAACACACAAACTGCAGAGAGTTGAGCTGTAGTAGTCCTAAATTAAGGTCTTGCAAAAATGTGTTCTCAATGACCTTGATTGCAGACAAGAGAGAATTCTCTCAATTTACAATTTACAATTTCAATTACAATTTCAGTTGTATTTTTCAGTTACAATTTCACAGCACTGAGTGACTGGAGAGATTTAAACTACATTTAAAAAAAATGGCCCTTGATAATATTAGAAATGCCAAATATATAAATACAATAAGAGGCACAGGGGTTCATAATAATTGCTTACACTTAAATAGCATTTGTTCTGGACACTCCACTCAAAGTGCTTTAACCACCACCACCAGTGTGCAGCATCCACCCGCATGATGCGACGGCAGCCATAGTGCGTCAGAACGCTCACCACACCTCAGCTACCAGTGGGGAGGAGAGCAGAGTAATAAAGCCAATTCATAGAGGGGGATTATTAGGAGGTCATGACTGATAAAGGACAATGGGAAACTTGGCCACAGAGAGTCAGGACCTCGGTTTTACATCTCATCTGAAGGACGGTGCCTTTTTACAGTACAGTGTCCCCATCGCTATACCGGGGCATTAGGACCCACATAGACTGCAGGATGAGCGCCCCCTCCTGGCCCCACTAACACCTCTTCCAGCAGCAACCTTAGTTTTTTCCCAGGAGGTCTCCCATCCAGGTACTGACCAGGCTCACACCTGCTTAGCTTCAGTGGGGCTGCCAGTTGTGAGTTGCAGGGTGATATGGCTGTTGACTGTAATTAGTAAGAGCCTCGACTGAACAGTTCAGTTCTTTTCAATAGGGCCAACACTGGGCAGCTGCCCAGGTTCTCTCACCTTGGGCCGATCCCGGGCTGACGGCAGCAAGTGGTTCCAGAAGGGGGCGGCCTTGGCGTCCGTGCTCCGGCAGGACACGGTGACCCCGTGGGGCAGAGAGAGGCGGCTCCTCTTGGAGGTGGAGGGACCCTCGTCCTCGGAGCAGGACTCGCCCGTGTCGCTGGGAGCCAGCAGCTTCCTCTTGGCGGGGCAGCTGCTGGGGCCGGGGGAGGAGGAGGAGGAAGGGCCTGGCCGTCTGGAGCTGCAGGGCGTCTTCTCCGCCGAGGCCAGGCCGTTGGTGGAGTGTCCTTGCTCTGGGGGCAACAGCTCAACACTCACCTCTGAGCCTACATCTCTGCCCGGAGACACCGCTGTGGAAACAGGGACCTGTGTCCAGTCTCTGCGATCACCATTGCTGAACGCCTGCTCCTCCAGCAAGGCTCCGTTGGCTTGTGCCACCGAGTTCCCACTCTTCCGCTGGGCGGGAACGCCATCTCCCGGCTCTCCTGCTGGGTCTAGCTCGCTTGTTGGCAGGCTGGCCGAGGCAGAAGCATCACACAGCCGTGCAGTTCGGCCGGCAGACGAGTACGGGTTTTGGGGGGAGATCGAGGCCTCCCTGCTCTGGAGCAGCCGGTCCTGGTTGTGCTCTGAAAGGCGTCTGGCCATGGGGCTGGCGAGAGGCACGGGGAGAGAGCGTCTCCCCGCCGCCGGGCCCGACTCTCTGCCCGAGGCGCAGTCCTTGTGCTCGATCACACATGTGGCGGTGTGGGAGAAGTGCTGGCCCGAGCCGCACACCACTGCGTTTTCGTCTTGCAGCGACTCCAGGGGGGGCCCTAGTTCGGACTCTTGGCCGGGCAGGTCTGGGATGCCGGGGGAGTCAGGCCAGGTGTCCGCACCGTGCCCAGGCAAAAGCAATCGCTTGGGATCGGAGTATGGATCTGCCAGGCCCCTCTTTACAGCCTGCTTCTCAGCTTTCTGTTCGCCTCCGGTGTCGGAGAACCCCCCCAGCTGGGAGAAGATGGACAGCTGGTACACCTTTTGCAGTTTGATCTCGTTCTCCCCAAACGGGCGGAGAAGTCCTTGACCTGACCCCGAGTCCAGGCCTCCCCTCTGGGCATTCGGGAGGGGTAGGTCCCCCTCCTGGGCAGCCACCTCCACCGGAGCCTCCTTCCGTGCAATTTCCACGTGGATGTGTCTCATCGTTCCTTCAGTTTGATTGTGTCGTTCGTTTGTTTTATGTGCACCAGATCAAGTAAGAAATAGTATACGATAATCAAGTATTTAATGTGCAAAATGATTCAGGACTACTACTCCATTCCAGGAGTCAGCAGAGAGTCACTTCTCACAGTGGAGATACTTTGTTATGGGAGCATAGCAGCACAGTACCTGCAAAAGAGCAAAAAACGAATCTACACCGTGTGATCAGGAAGACAAGTTACACTCCTAAGTTATGTAATATTATATGAACCCTTGTGAAAATTAACCCTTCGGTCCATATAACCACCACCTTATCCTTGATTTAAATTTGTGTTTTTCTTTATAATGGCCCAGAATACCTAATAGTACTTGTTCTGTAGGTGTCCTTCATTCAGTTAATACATAAATCTTGAACAAATTAATATTACTGCCTGTATAGTACTGCACAAGCCTTTATCTGTGTCCAGTCGTATGATATGTCACAGCTTTGGTTATTTTATCTTTGGTAATATCCGTTAACATTTCTGTATTTTCTGGTTTGCTAAACATTAATGTTACTACAGTATTTCTTGAAATTAATCCAGTATAGGCGAGTCTTCTTTTCGCCTCATCTGCCTGGTTTGTACTGCTAGCTGTAACGCCGACTGAGTTCTTGCACTCTTAGTGCGTGGCTACATAATACTGTAAATGCAAGAAATTCAAATGCGTAAACTGCTGTAATAAACTAATGAAACACCCTAATATGACTTGTTCTTGTTTAAAGCCAGTACAATAAGATATTGCTGGTTGATCTGAGGGCCCTGTGGATGTTATCGTAGGCTCCTCAGGGCGAAGTGTCGTCACTTTGTTCTCATACCGCTCCTCCTGTGCTCCCCTCCTTGCCTAGTTCGGTCTCTGCTGTGCCTCCTGCCACCGTTCTGGACCGCCGTTCTGCCCCCTGCCACTACCCTCGGAGCCCGTCCATCCCCACAGCTGCCAGCGCGTCCTGGCTGAGCCAACAACACCATCCCAGGACAGGCTGGCGCAGGGCGGGGGGGGGTGGGGGGGGCCAGCAGGATCAGCACAGCACCGGGACACACTCCCTGGAAGACAGAGCGGAGCACAGAGGGATCAGGACCGGCAGGACTGCAAGACTGACTGGAGGAGCAGGAGAACACGGCTACAGTCGCTGTACCAGTAGTGTAGAGATCCGCAGCCGGTAATCAAGCTCACGTACCGTGGGGTGGGCATCACTGAGGTCTGGGGGTGGTATAAAGGACAGGTAAGAAGCAGGCAGCTGGCACCCACATCCACTCCCTCCCCCTCAGAGTCAGCAGTGTCCTTCCAGATGCCTGGGCATGAGGCCGGTAGGCACCGTGTTCTGGCCTCATAATTAGGCACTCATTCCAGTGGAAACACCTAGGATCAAAACAACAAACAGGAGTGAAAACAGGCATGGGGATGGAAGTTTCTCGGCAGACTTTTTTTTTTTTAAATAAGAAAACCCCCAAGAAGTGCCGTAGCAGAGAACACACGGGGTGTGACAAAGTTGAACAGCAATTCTGAAATGACTTGATTAACAGTTGGGTTAAAACCGTCAGGCAGCCTCCTTGTTCCTTATAACTACTTCGCACTGAGCCTTCGTGTATTCTCTGGAACCCTGCTTCTCTGCGTCTGCATTTGAGCTTTAGCCATTTGGTCACACTGCCTACCAATCCTACCTTCTAAACCTTCCTACTGTATGCTCCACTGCCTCGGCTTCATCCCCGAGGAAACATCCTCACCCTTTCCCTCTTCGTCAAAACACACACAAAGTCTGCGTGACGAACCTGACTAAAACCACGTGCCTTCAGGTATCTCATTTCTAAACGTTAAGGCCACACTCGCTTCCAGTTCTCAGCGCCCCACTCTGGCTCTGCTCTGTTTCCGTCCTCCATTAATTCAGTCCGCAAAGGTTGTTGCGTGCCTTGGGCTCCTCGGTCTCCAGACAGCACGCCTGCCTCATGTGGCAGTTACTCTCTCTGGTTGGACAGGGACCAGGGGAGGGGGGGGTAGAGTCAGCCCCCGCGACAACAGGCCTTTTGTGTTCTTCCAACTCAGAAACAAGACATGGTCTGCCTGCCAAAACGAGGACAGGTCGACTTCCACAATAGTAACCCATCCACCTGCAGTCTTCTCCCCAGTCCTGGAGCCCGGATCCCCTTAACTGGCATGAAAACACCTGGAATTATCTTTCCACGGCGAGTTGTGAGGCAACATCCTGGAATTTGATCCGAGAGGGTTTCATCGAGTCTCTTAAACTGACTTCTTGCTGCTACATTTCTGAGATAAGAGCCTGTGTCAGGATGCTAAAGACCCCAACAGAAAGACATACCGGCTTTCCACTACATATTAGTCTCCATCATGGAATAATAAAGGGTCTCCTTTTTGTCCCTGTGTTTTCCTCCATGTTTTATACCAAGTGTGTGAAGAGGCCATGTACAAATTTGCTGTGGCGGGTGTGAGCAAGGAGAGAGAAGTCACGATTGCAATGAAAAAGGAGATCGAAATCCAACACTACAGCCGAAAACACAAGAAAAGAAAAGAATGATTAATCAATGCAAAATGTGAATATTTAACCAAAGTTTGTATATCCAAGTTTGTATTTACAAGAGCTGTGATAATATCACCAGCGCTCCTTTCTAGTAGGATAAAGAAAAAACAAACAAACAAACAAAAGCACAGATAGGGTGGATTCCACTATGCAGAAAATCAGCAGTTCAGCAAAAACCCTGGCTTTGAAATTCAGTTTGAGAAACCAATTTCACCGTCTCCGTACAGCAGATTACAGCAATTGCCTGCTATCCATCACAGTCAAGTATAGCATCCTTAAATAGGAATTTAAGAGGCACAAATTCATTTGCGCTCAAGGGCATCCATGTGTGGTTAAGCCAAAAGATGTACCAAATGAAACGGGAAAATACAGAAGTTCACAGCATAATGAGCTATACTGCGTTAAGCTGCATCCTGTTTCTTCCTTATGAGAAAACAACAAGTTGTGATGCATCACATAAATCTTTTAGCATTCTAGTTTAAGAGTTAAAGTAAGCTTGCATGTTTCTTTTTGATTTTGCAATTTTCTGTTTTTTTCTCCCCTTTTACAAGAAAAAATGCTGGTCAACTAAATGCAATGTAGATATTATATGAATTTGTAACAATATTTCTTTGAGCACATGATTATTTTTTTTGCTTTATTTACCATAAAACTAGGACACAATTTCTACTGCACTCCAGTCTCTTAATATGACACACACAGTAAAAACCCTCTGCCACAATAGTTCACATGATTTAACTAGTATATTTAAGTTAGACCAAAGCTTGTTAAGGAGGATATTGTCCTTAAGATCACGGAAAAAGGAATCTAAATACTAATTTAGATTTCTAAATTAGTATGCTATTGTCTAGGTGAAATAAATGTACATTGACGTCTGAAAGCATCTAATTGGATTGAAAAGGTTGTAATGAAAGTGACAGACTGAAGCCAATGCTGTTTTTATTACTGTATGTGCACTGCACAGTGTTTTCAAATGACAGCTACAGGGAAAGTGCAAGAAATTCTGCATGGTACTGCAGTTCTGTCAATGTGCTCCAGGCATGTTAACAATTGCAAATGCTGTTAGCAACAGCAGTTTATTGATGTTATGACTAACGAGCACAATTCAGAAAATTTGCCTACAAGTCAGCAAGGGCATGTCTTCATGTTAAAGAAAAACCATGCATCTTCCTTTATGGATATGCACGCTGTCATAATACATTCACAGCTGTCAAATAAAACGGATTGGAAAGAATGTGTTTGTGTCTTTGTGTGTGTGAATATAGGCATGCACACACAGAGGGTTCTGATTCACAGTGCCCCCCAGACTACACCCCTCTGATTTAATTGCAGATGAAGACTCCTAATCATGCACAAAGCACATCTTCCCAGAGGAATATTCAGGGATCACAGCATCAAAAAGCTCTGTCTTTAGAGAGAAGAAGGGTGAACGTGGACTCCCTCCCCCTAATAGTGATGATTTTCTAATAGCAGCCCTATACACAGAACCCACCTGAGCAGAGGGCTCTAGTTGTCAGGGCTGCCAGACACAGGCGGCTACACACTGGCAGTGTCTGTGAGGACAGGGGCCTGTTTCTCTCTGCTCTCTCTGCACTACAGACACGGATCCTCCACCACAGATCTGGTCCTTGCCCACAGCTACAGCTGGGAGCAGACTGAGTGGCTCTGACATGCCTAGCCAGCACCAGTAGCCCCTTTTGAGTGAGTGGTGGGGTGAGGAAGGACCCATGGGGGTTGAACTTCAAGACTAGGATATAGGATATTTTTAGCCACAGCTGGGAGACTTGCAAGGCGGCTGGCTGAGAGGTACAAGAGGATACACACTGATTTACCTTTCAATAAGACTGAGCGATTATTTTAAGATGAGACATCCCCCTTCAATACTCAAATTAGCAATCACTGCCTCTTTCCTAGATCCCAACGTAGGAAGTCTTAAGCTCTTCTCCCAGAGTAATGAATTTGAACATTATTGCCTTTATTACAGCTCTGACTACTGTAAACCACATACCTCTCTGTTCCTTTGAAAGGAGTGTCAGGACGTCTCTTTTACCAGTTGGCAAAAAGAAATGTGCAGCCGTATCGTAAACGCGCCGGTGAACTGCGGGAACTGAAATTCGAGCTCTGGAATTAGTGATCAGCGCTGCCTGTAAACTGTGCCCGACAGACTGAGAAGGCAAAACACTCAGCAGTGGTGATGTGAAGTGAAAAGCAGCTCACTTTGTGGTGTATTTATAGTGGAGTTTAAGGGTTTTTAACTGGGGAAACTACAGGCCAAAGGGATGTCATGTGACCAAAAATAAACACCTAAATCACAATCTAATTTACTCAGGCACTAGGTCATAGGCCTGCATAGGCCTTTAAACTGAAATACTGGGAAGGCCTTACACCTTACTGGGTATACAAGACAGAACACAAGAGATTACAGAGTGAAATATGATGCTTTCAGAATTATACTCAACTTAAGTGCTACACGCAATTAAACTATTACAAAATTAAAAATTCATTTTCAAGGCAGGGCTCCGTTCCCTTTAGCACCTGTATAGTGGGCTGTATTATCTCAATTTTGGAAAGAATGCACCAATGATAAAGATTTATCTCCAATTTGCATGAAGGGCTAAAGTGCAATCGGTTACAATGGATTCCCCCCACTGACTTATACTAGGAAGGAATGAACTGAGGCAGGACCTGTGAGGTGAGCTGATGAATTGCTGCTTGAAAGGCTGGCCATATTTATCAGGCAAAACAAGGATCATTATCAGAAAAGTAGACCAACCACATACAGAACCCTGATTAATTTACTGTATCTATACAGATAGCACATCTGTCTCAGCACAGACTGCTTTCATATACTGTATATAACTCCTTGGACCTTTTCCACTATCCACAGTTCCCATAAAGCACTTGCATTCTGGCCTTTTGAGTTGGGTTGCTTCTGCGCATCTGGATAGATTAATTATGGCTGGCTTAAAAACATGCACAGATGTAACCTAGTGAGTTTGCATAAAAAATACAGTACCATCTGAGAAAAGGGGGGTAACCATTATTTTCCATACTCAGGAAATAACACCCCCCACATCCTCTTAATTTGGTTGCTGTCATTCTGTAAAGCACTTTGAGAGGCCACCTTTAAAAGGCACTATATAAAATAAAGTTCATTATTATTTCCTATTTCAAGTATCTTGCCTGTCTACCCAAGACGCTTAGCTGAAAACCTCCATGATCATACTGCCATGCAGACCGAGTCTCCACATGACGTGATTGTGTCCTTAATGTATAAGACTGTCTGAATGTATAATGTATAACTTATATTATTCTGTAGAACCCTGGAGTGCAGGCTTCCAGTGTTCTTCAGTATGCATCTCAGCCTTGGCTATAGGTCATTTCACAATGCCCCGAAAAAAAACAAATACAGTACTTCTGTAAAGTGAATGTTTACACAATACTAACACTAAATACTAGAAGCATGAAATTAGGGTAGAGGACAAAAGGCCTCCTAGGATATACCAAACTATAGCATCCATTCTTGTGCTACGTTATTGTCTACATGTTTTGGCCTTCTTGAAATCGCAAGGGTGATTTCAGAAGCAAGGGTGTCTTTGTTTTGGATGGTGTCGCAAGGAGAGTTCCATGGAATTGCTGGGAAACAGCTCAAGGGAGATGGGCTGCTGGAACGCCAAATGCAATTACTTCTGTTACCGAGCCATAAATAGGTATACAGGGAGAGACCTCAGCGTACTACAAGCAGTAACAGTACACTGTCCTCTGGTAGCGACTTGGCACAGGGGAACTGTATTACTACAGCGCTAGCTTCTCAACAAAGTCTTAC